CAACTGAAGAGGGGTACGTGGCAGGTGCAGGAGATAGCTGGGCATCGGTGACAGCGATGGATTGCGATGGCGAATCTTTGGTGTGTCTATGGGAGCGGCATGTGCGAGTGACGAAGAAGGAGAAAGAGACACATCGGTCGCGGTGTGAGTGTGATGTGACCCGAAATTAGTCACATCAATTCAAACGGGAAAAAGGGGCATCTTTATTTTATTATATATATATATATATATCAAAAAAGTCTTACGAATGCCTATAAGTGAAAAGTAACAGTAATCTCACCACATTACCATCGACAGTCCGTTCAAATTAAATCCAATATTTCACCTATGAATGGTTCAGATCAGCGAACAAAACCCAACGCGCAAAGGCTCAAAAACTTCAAACCTTTCAATATTTCACTGTTACCCTCCTCTGCTATGCTAACCTCCCTTCTCTCTCGCTCGCCCTCTCTATTACTCTGTGAAGGTCCCCCCTCTCCCGTCGCCCTCTCTACTGCTTTGCAAAGGTCCCCTCACTCTGTCTGCGCTACTGCCCACATTGTCTCTGTGCTACTGCCCACATTCTCTCTGTGAACTTCCCAGATGCTTTAGAGAGAGAAGAAAGCTTCTTCATGGAGGTTTTAGTGAAGAGATGGAAAGCCAAATTGCAAGGAGGAGGATGTACCAAAATGCGTGCCACCTCTTAGCTACTGAAGAACTTCCAATCAATCATATCTTTTCTATGGTAAATTAGAAGTCTTTTGTTTTTTCTTTTTTCTTTTTTCATTAGTTTTATTCATACAAGAAAACTTTAAGGGAATATCAGTTTTTGTTCAGTTGGTTTTTTGGGGTATGTGATGAATACTCAGAGAATTATGATGTGGGTTTTGATTTTTGCTCTGAATTCGTATGCGTCGTGAACTTGCAAGAGATTGGGAAATTTAATAATTGAGTTTCTTTTAGCATTTCTTCGTTTGTTTTTCAAACTAGGTTTTCTTCCTCATTTTTTTATGGCCTCATAGCATGTTCTAGATGTTACCAAATAATATGCCATGGGTTTGATTTAGAAACATTTAATTTGGAATCTCATGCTTGAATTTGGAGGGTAGTTACAATTTTGCAGTGGTATTTGGAAGGATTAATAGATAACATGATTTATTTTGGGTGAATCTATTTTTTCATTTCTCTCCTCTTTTGTTGGTCTTTTGATTGGTAATGCAATTACTACAGTTGAATCTATAACTTGAAGAAGTTGCAATGAATACAACTGAATGCCATAAAAGAAAAAATAATGCCCGACTTTCAATTGAAATTTTAATACAATTATTGGGTTTTATGTTATGCTTCTATTCTCTATTTCACAAGGCATCTTTTTCTTTTCTTTTTTATATAAATATGGGTTCAGTATTAATTTCCCTGTTATGTAATTTTGTTTTGTTGGGAATTTGAATTTGAGAAATGGAATTTTTGGTCATATTCATTTAATTTCTTCAATCGTCTCCACGTATTTTATTTGTTCTCTTTTGGGGAAGTGGGTTCATGTCCAATTGGCTAGTGAGACTGAAAGTAGTGATTTGGGCATTTTTCATCAAAATGCGGGGAGGGGTTCTTGGGTGTTTTCAGCTAATAGAGTTCTAAATTGTTTTTCAAGATGCTGAAATGTTAATGTAGCTAATGGCAGGCATTTGATTGTCAGCCACTTACCAGTTTTAGCCGTAATGGCCATAATTGAACCAAGATATGAACTTGGTTTTCTCATCTTTTTTATGACAATGGTGAATTTTCCTGCATTTGAATCTAGGATTTGGGTAAAGTTCAGTCAAGAATCTAAAGAGATTTTGTAGTTGCCCTTTGATTTTTTCGTTTAACTTAAATTCTTAATAGACTGAAATCTAATTTCAGCTTCAGCTTTGGGTTCGGAAGTTGAAGTTTGAAATGAAATCTTGGGGTTTTATGTTACTTACTTACTGTTAATGGTGCAAATAAGTTCATGCGAGATGAGCTTTTGTCTCAAGTATTAGAGGCTCTTCTCGTCATCCGGGGTCTTGTAGTACAAAAAACAAAATTGAGAAGTGATTGCAATCGGCTATTGAATGTATCTCTTGGACAGTCTTTTGCTTGAAAGTAGTGAAAACAAGCGTTGTTTCATACGAGCTTGCATTTTTGGTTTGCAAATCCTTGGAGAAGAAAAGAAAGGAATGAAATTCTCTGGTATGGGATAGATAAGCAGTTGTCTTTGTTTTCTCTATTATAATTAATGGGATAGATAATCGATAGTGTTTGTTTTCTCTGAAGTGCTTTAATATTCATTATGGTGTTATTTTTGCCAATTAACATGCAATGTTATAATGTAGTGGGAGGACATCCACCGTAGCGCAATGCTTTTGAGGCATTCGGCTCCCTATGAAAGTATTGTCCAATCCCATTAGAGGAGCCCCAGGAGAACAATGCGAATGATGATGTACTTGAGGACATTGGAGAGAGTAGCTCCTGATCGGAGGATCAGATCCCCCATTACTATACCAACGCTAATGGAGGAAGTTGGACGGGTATACTATGCTCGTGTCATGGATGCCTCAACATCAGCATCTCCTTTCTCTCCCCTCAACATTACTAATTCAAAAAATGGGAATGAATGTGGTGCTCAGGCTATAGTGGATGAAGCATGCCATGATTTTCTATCTGATGAGGACATAGCTGCAATAAATGGAGAATGAGATCCGTTACTTATAGATGTTGAGGTAGCCCTAGCAAGTGGTGCAAGTATCAAACCGGAAATAGGAATGGCATTTATTGACGAAGATGAAGTTTATGATTATTATAACAAGTACGCAAAAATTGGTAGGGTTTGGTATAAGAAAGGGAAGGACCATATGGAAACATGGTGTATGTCAGGCAAAGATCCGCATTAAGAAGAATGAGAATAATAGATGGGTTATTGCGAAGGTTGTAAAAGAACATAATCATATTCTCACAACGCCCAACAAGACTAGATTCATTCGTTCTTATCGAAAGATACCAAACATGGTGAAAAAGGTGATTGACACATTGGAGTCTTCTATGGCTAAGTCTAGGGTTATGATGGATTGCTTAATTGAAGAGGCTAGTAGGGAAAAAATGTCACTTTCATTGAGAAAGACCTTAAAAATCCCATAACTAAAAAAAAAAACAACTGAAAGGGAAAGAGGGTAATGTTGTTATGAATTGGCTGCATACAAAGAATGAATTGGACTCTAATTTCTTTTATAAAGTTCGACTTGATGAGATGGGGAGGTTGTTTGGTATTTTATGGGTTGATTCAATGTGTAGACTGTCATACCAATTTTTGATGGCATGATAACGTTTGACACCACATACCAAATAAATGAATACAGTATGCCCTTGACCCAATCTTTGGAGTTAATCATCACGAGAAAACACAATTTCCTCAGATGTGCTCTCATCTTCAATGAGACTACAAAAACCTTCATTTAGTTATTTGAGAACTGGCTAGAGGCAATGGGAGGCCGCCAACCAGGTACAATTATCACTGATCAAGTTTTAGCGATAACGGCTGCAGTCAAGACAGCTTTCCCGAATATTAATCATCATTATTGTAAGTGGCACATCATAGGAAAGTTTAAAACACATCTAAGCCATGTTGAGCGTGTGCACCCATTATTCTTAGAGGTATTCAAGGAGTGTGTTGCAGCCTACACAGTTGAACAGTTTGAGGATGATTGGTTGGCCATGATTCAGAAATATGATATTCAAGAGGAAAGTTGGTTCAAGTGGTTATATGGTTGTCGCACTCAACGGGTTGATGCATACATAACTGATAGGTTCACAGCAGACATGAAAACCACACAACGAAGTGAAGGGTTTAATCGTCATTTAAAGATGTACGTCACTTCTGGTATAGGTTTACAAAAATTCATGAATGCTATTGAAAGTTGCAAAACAAGAAGTTCATCAAAGAAAAAGAGAGACTGTAAAGATCTTACATCTACACCTGTTTTAAAGACAGCCTTCCTTATCGAGGAGTATGCGGCAAAGACATGCACTCAAAAAATATTTAGAAAGTTCAAGAGGAGGTGGTAATGTCTTCAAATTGCCTTAACAAATTAATAGAAAGTAATGATGAATTCGCCCAATATAAGGTGGAAGACATTGGCGGTGTGCTAATCCATCGGACGGTTACATTCATTGAATCAGGGGAGAAGTGTACCTGCACATGTCAGTTCTTTGAGCATGTTGGGATTCCTTGTTCACATATGCTCAAAGTGTTCAACATGATGAATGTATTGAAGATCCCCTCTAACTATATTTTAAGCCGTTGGACAATGGATGCAAAGAAGAGTGTCAAAGACAAATATGGTGCTAGTTGTTCAACTATATCTAAATTTCCGAGTTTCATTCGACGTTATGAGCTTTATGATATTGTGAGAACAATTATAGAGACAGCATTAGAAAATAATGATCTATTTGAAAAAGTGAAGTTGGGTTTCTCCAAGTTAGCTGAGGAGGTCAATGCAACAAGGGAGTCTTTGTCGAATACTTATGCACCATCAGCCTCCACTCATTGTAGTGCCGCTGAAGATGAAGTATGTGGCAGTATTGGATCAGTTGATGCCTCCCCCCTTATACTCGATCCACCATATGCACGGGCAGTTAGATGACCAAGGACTAAAAGGATAAAAACTTCATGGGAGGAAGGGCCAAAAGCTTCTACATAGAAAAACAATCGAAGGAAGGGCCACCCACTGGAAGGAAGTGTAATGTTTGCCATAAGAGTGGACATGACAACGTAATTGTCCCGTGAGGGCGCGTGGGATGTAGAGCTACTGAGGACCTCGAGCCGAGTTGACTAATTTTTGGACTAATTTATGGGGAATGTAAACAACTTGAGTAATTTTTTTATTTTTGGAGACATGTAAATACCCCCTTTTGTAGAAGCATTTGGGGGTTATGTGAATATTCAATATTCATGTAATTTTGTGGGCATGTAAAAGACTGCTTTATGGGGGCATATAAAGGACCTCTTTATGGGGCATCTAAAGTCTAAAGAACCTATTTGGTGACTTTTTGGTAATATATGTGTGACATTTATTTTTTTTCCATGTATTTCATTAACATGTGCAATGTGGGTTTTATTTCGATAATGAAATGCATTTATATCCCCACAGTTCTCACTTTATTTTATTTTTTATGTCGAGCATTTGATACATTCTCACCTTTTACCACACCAGAAGGTGTGTAGAAAAAAGAAACATTCACAAAAGATTATGTGTTTCGTTGTAGTTGATGACCAGATCATTCTCTCTGTCTCTCTCTCTCTCTCTCTGTTTGTATGCGTGTCTACAAAAAAAAAAAACCAATAACTGAATAATACCATAAACCAGATAATTTCATTCACAAAAGATTACTATTAATTCAACAACAACCAATTACAATCATTTACAAACCACTAGATTACCATTAATTAAACAATGACCAATTACAATCATTTATAAACTACTAGAAAGATACAAGGAGGTCCAACACCTCATGAAATAGGAAAAAAGATACCACCCTTTTCGATGGTAGCTTGTTATCCACTTTTGCAAATGAGGCTCAAAGTGTTGTATCAGCACTTCCATGGCAGCTTGTTCCCCATATGTTAGATATTCGAGCCACCATCTCATTGTTTCGCTGCTTTGCTGATTTTTTTAGACCAGAAGGGTGGGAAAGCTGCTCTAAGAATATGAAGAGTACCCTTCGTGCTTGCTCACCAGCCCCCGAGCTTGTGCCATCATTGGAAGCAGCAAGCACAATCTCTGAGATGCCAATGTCACTCTCATTAGCCTCCATCGTCAAGCTCTCAACAATCAAGAGCATGCCTTCTGCAGGCTCCACAACATCGACAAAGAAGGCACACCTAGCTGTCTCCAAGAGGAGGCCCAGTGCACCTAGCTTTGATAAGGCACACCTATTCTCCCGAATGAAGAAGTCAAAGAAAGAGAACACCAAGAAGGCGGAGAAGCAAGCAGCTGCGATGTCGAGAGAAGTATGTGTACCAGTAATGCCTTGAATTTCAAAGAGATTAGTGGTATTGTTCTTGTTGGTGGTTTGGCCATAGGCCAATTCATTGTCTTGAGAATCTAAGGCATAAGCTCTAATGAAATAAGTAGCAGTAGGAATATCTGTCTATGAGCCAAGAGACAGTGGTTATTGAGTTGTTGGGGTTGTAAGGTTGAGCTGCTATCTTGAATTGGCATGTCTCATCTTTCTTACTATACACAAGACATGCCATTCAATAAGTTGAAACATTGTCAATGCTCATAACAATTTGATCTTTCTTGTTGGGTTGTAAAATTAGGTTAGACAAAAAGAAATAAAAACCTGAAAAACCAGTTAAATATATGTTTCCACAAAGAATTAAAAGTTACACCTGATGTATAACAACAGTTCTATGGTGAAAAAACTTTATTTATGATGATAGAGAACAAGTACAACCAAGCAGCCAAATCCATTCCCAAAGAAAAAGCCAGCTGCCACATGAAGTCCAGCATTTTCTCAAATATATAGTTGTAAGAATGCCAATGTTGCTCTTCGAGCCAATAGCAGTCTACAAGGCTACAAGTCATCTCAAGACAAGCCATAACTCTCTGTAGTCAAAAGCCCCCAGATGGACACATGAGCTTCAGCATGGAGGCATTCCAGGAGAATACCACCAAGATCGGGGTTGGTGCAGGCAGCAACTCTAGGCACCTGCCTAGACCACTGCTCAATGCTCAGCTGTGCATATAGACCATGCAGACCTCAAAGAACTTCTGGTCTCCTAATTGTCTTGAGTCTTTTTATTACTATGCTGTGGCCCTAATTACCACAACAATGATCACCTCTCAAAGACTGAAACTTAGAGATAAAGCACAAAGGCAAAACCTCCAAAGAACACAATAAAAGACAATATGCAAGAGTAAAACAGGGCCTCTTTGGAGAAAAACATTTGACAACTTTGTGTAGAGAAATTGGAGTAGTCCCATGAACCTCAATGAATTTCTGGTCAAAGCCATTAGTTCAACAGGTCAGTTGATGACAGGCAAAGAAATAACCATGATAGAGTTTGGTATGAGAAGAAATATCCAGATTAACCAAGCATAAAACCTACTCGTTAATGGGCAGGTTAAATAAAAAAGCCAATGAACTCACTTGGTGAACCAAAGTAAAAAAAAAAAAAAGTCCAAAAAAATGAGATCTTGATAGTCCTAAATCAATAGCTTATTTAATTGCCTGATGGTAGAACTTGAAGGTGTTTCCATATAATCCCTTCACACACGTGCCACACACACATATGCTTACACACATTCACAAATCATTTGCATGTACCGGTATATGTTTATGTCAGCATGTGTGTTGCATTTGTATACATATGTAGCGCTTTTCAGCAAAAGACTTTTGGAAATTGGTCAGATGGTTCTCATTTCCAGCCAAGAAAACATTCCACTCAAAAAATAGGTGCTAACCATTATCAGTGTTCACCAAAAACAAGAAGAAGAAGAAGAACAAAAAAAAAGGAACTAGAAGTAGTAGGGTAGTAATTACCCAAAAAGGAAAAAAAATCAGTACGGTAGTAGCTGTACCATATGGTGATGTAATTACATAAGATGCATGTGAGCACATGTAGGAAAATGATGATATACATCTACATGTTTGTACATGAAAGCATTTAACTAGAAGTAGTGGAAATAATATCTAAATTTGAGTATATAAGAGAATTTGCAAACACAGGAACGTGCATGTGTTATCTACGTACCAAAAAATATGTGTATGTGAAGTTTGATGCCTTTTTGATTGTCAAATGCACATCTACTACTTCAGAGGGACCAACTTGCACACACCATGATGCAATATATATTTCATAGGGACTATTGAATGTCAGGAAATAAATATTACAGAGCTATCAATGATTTGTGCAAATAGAAGCTCACAAATTCTAACATATGAATTCTATCAAAACCACAATCTATTAAGAAACAGTTTGTGTGCATACCATAAAGAAAAGCAATAATGCATCTAACTCATACTCAAATCTTAGCACTTACCAAAAAAATTACAAATACATATCACATTTAGATTTTATCTTGCTTCTCATGTCACCATGTCCGAAGAATCAAATAACACACTCCCAAAAATATTAAAAGATATTACAATTAAAGAGAAGTCCACCAAAAATTACAGTTAGCTGCAGTTATATGATAATTCAGGTTTAATTTCTCTATTTTGCTTAAAACAGCATTACCTATCAAAAGACCAGCAAAAGAGGAGAGGAATGAAAAAACAAATTCACCCAAAATAAATCATGTTATCCATTAATCCTTCCAAATACCACTGCAAAATGTAACTACCCTCCATTTTCATATAAAAAATGGTTATTTAAATCATGAGATTCCAAATTAAATGTTTCTAAATCAAACCCACGGCATATTGTTTGGTAACATCTAGAACACGCTATGAGGCCAAAAAAAAATGAGGAAGAAAACCTAGTTTGAAAAACAAAAGAAGAAATGCTAAAAGAAACTCAATTATTAAATTTCCCAATCTCCTGCAAGTTCAAGACGCACACGGATTCAGAGCAAAAACAAAACCAAAACCCACATCATAATTCTTTGAATATTCATCACATACCCAAAAAAAACCAACTGAACGAAAACTGATATTCTCCTGAAATTTTTTTGCATGAATAAAACTAATGGAAAAAGAAAAAAAGAAAAAAAAAAAAGACTTCTAATTTACTAGAGGAAAGACATGATTGACTGGGAATTCTTCAGTAGCTAAGAGGTGGCACGCATTTTGGTACATCCTCCTCCTTGCAATTTGGATTTCCATCTGTTCACTAAAACCTCCATAAAGAAGCTTCTTCTCTCTCTAAAGCGTATGGGAAATTTGCAGAGAGAATGTGGGTAGCAGCGCAGAGAGAGTGAGGGACCCTCACAGAGCAGTACAGAGGGCGACAGGAGAGAGAGCACCTTCACAGAGCAATAGAGAGGGCGAGCAATAGATCAGGGAAGTTAGCAGAGCAGAGGAGGGTAGCAGGTGAAATATCGGAAGGTTTGAAGCTTTTTGAGCGTTCGCGCTGGGTTTTGTTCGCAGATCTGAACCGTTTGCGGGTGACATATTGGATTTAATTTGAACGGAGGGTGGATGGTAGGGTTTTGTTCGCAGATCTGAACCGGGTCAAATATTGGATTTAATTTAAACGGAGGGTGGATGATCGGGTTTTGTTAGCAGATCTGAACCGGGTGAAATATTGGATTTAATTTGAACGGAGGGTGGATGGTAGGGTTTTGTTCGCAGATCTGAACCGGGTGAAATATTGGATTTAATTTAAACGGAAGGTTGATGATAGGGTTTGGTTCGCAGATCTGAACCGGGTGAAATATTGGATTTAATTTGAACGGAGGGTGGATGGTAAT